TGGTGGGAAAGATGGAGTATTTGACCTGGGGCAACATCCAGAGTCCAAGACCCCAGCCCCATGTCTCACAGAGTGGTCGCTTCCTTGGTAACTTGTTCTGAAAGAAAGAGCTGAGTAGGAGGTGGGGTGCTCGCCACCCACCTCCCTGCCCACCTCTCTTTGTCTTTCTCTTGGGCTTTCTGCTGTCCTTCCTTGCTGCCTTGGCCTGAGCCTCCATTACTCCATGGGCATCTGTCTCACCAGCCTTTCCTAGTACTTTTCTCTCTGGATCTTGGCTCTTTCTAAGTGAGGCCTCCCTGCTCTTCCCTCCTGGTTCCCCTCTGGTCTCCTCTCTTGCCTTCGCCCTCCCTCTGCCTCTGTGTGGGTGTTTGTCTTTGTGTCGACTTCTCAGCATTGTCTGCGCCTCCGCCAGCCTCCCCCTGGTGTGTGTGAGTGTGTGCGTGCTCCCGCACGCGTGTGTGCAGCTCAGTTTTTCTCCGCCCGTCTTCACAATGGCCGCTTAAGAGTTCACCACATCTGCGAAGGTGTCTGAAGATGGGTGGGAGCGAGATCAAAGCAGGTGGGAATTCACTTAAAAACACACGTGCAGAAGCAGAATTGTGCTTGTCCCAGGCTGGAGCTGCCAGGTGGGTGAGGCTGTTGATTTGATGCTGCAAAGGGAGGCTGGTCTGTTTTCACTTTCTGTCTATGATCAGGCCCTTCCTGGTTCTCCTCCCACCTGGCTCCCCGAGGCCCACCTCCCCATCCCACATTGAGAAGTTTCCCTGCATTTCTGTTTGGCACTGGCTTTATTTCCCAGAAGTGGTTGCAGGAACAGGAATGGAATGGAAATTTCACTCCCAGTTAGGGCAGGCTCAGCTCGTAGCACAGATGTGGAAGGCCAGGCAACCAGGACTCGGAGGCTGCGTGTGCCACTTGCTGGGCCACTTGTGTGGGGTTCTTGGTGCTTCTTGACACTCACAATACCCCATCCCCTCCTGTTCACTAAAATGCCACCAGGACTCCTCTGCCCTCCCTGCTGAACAGCTGGTGTGCCCGGTCTGACACCTGCACTTCACTGCTCACTCCCCAGCCTTTCTCCTCTACTCTCCCAGACCCCTCATCACCCCCTCCATCATTGCATCAGAACCTTCTGGAGTCTGTCTCCCTGATCCTTCCCAGCTCTGCTCCGCATTCTCTTCTTCAGGGCTTGGAGAATGCTGTCCCCTTCACTCTCTGGCCCCTCTGCCTCAGTGAAGCCCCTGAGGCTCACCGGGGGTGGGGCAGGCTCCGCCTCTTGTTCCCTGTGGAGGTTTCACAGGCAGGACAGTTGACTCGGGCATTGGCTCACTCTCACTCCATCAGCGGACAGACTTGCTTGGAATACCTGTGGTGTGCCTGGCAGCCAGGCCCTGTGCCAGGTGATGGGGCTTGGGCTATGAGTGACAGTCTAGACTCCTCCTGGGGCCAAGCGGGGTGGGGGTGGCCAGTGCAGTCCCTACTGTAGCAGAAGTGAGAAGTGACTACCAGGGACTCTGAAGAATGCACACAAGTCATGGAAGACTTCCTTGAGGAGGTGACTATTTGAATCTTGAGGGAGGGGGAAGAGGAGGGAGCAGTGTCCCCCCAGGGAAAGACCTGTGCAGGGGCATGAAGAGGTGACAAACACCTGGCGTGTGCAGAGTGGACAGGATCAAACTTGGTGATGGCAGATATTTCCCATACCCATGAGCCAGGTCAGCCCAGCTTGGGGGCGTCTGGACTCTATCTCCAATGCTGTCTTGGCTGCAGGGGCTGTTTTGGACCAGGAAACATTGCCTGTGACTTTTACAGGCTCAGGATCTAGGCTGCCTTTCCATCGAGTAAAATTCCCTAGTCCCCTTCATTTTCCCTCCTCTGTGGGATGCTGTCTTGGCTGCAGGGGCTGTTTTGGACCAGGAAACATTGCCTGTGACTTTTACAGGCTCAGAATCTAGGCTGCCTTTCCATCGAGTAAAATTCCCTAGTCCCCTTCATTTTCCCTCCTCTGTGGACTCTCTGCTGGGTCATTGCTTCCATCCCCCTGTCTTCAGATTAAATTATTCAAGCAGGCCTAAACCAAGAAAAAATTTTACTTCAAAATCCCCAGAAAGACAGATTCCACCTTCTTCGTCATATCCCTGCTCAGGTTTCCAGTGGTCCCTCCACTTGTCTAACTGCTTAGGGCAAGTAATGATCATAGCTACCATTTAGTGGGTACATGCCAGGGGCTCTACCCAACACGGCATATACCTCATCTTGTTTGACTTTCACGGCAATCCGGGAGGTAGGCTTTTTATTCCCCAGTTTACCAAGGAGGAAAATGAAGCCTAACTTGGCCAAGGTCATGGTTAGGAAGCTGCAGAGGCACTATATAAACCTTAGTCTGTCTCCTAATCTTGCACTCTTAGTATTTGAGTATAAAGAGATCTTTGCAGTCCTTAGTTCAAACTTGTCATTGTACAGGTGAACAAATGGAGGCCTGGATGGGGAAGTGACCTGCCCAAGGTCACACCATTTCTCACTCTGGCAAGGTACCCTGAGTCCAAGTGCTTCTCATCTCCATCCTAAGCTCACTCTGAGCGGACAAGGAGCCAGCTGCTCACTGTCCTCTGGAGACCTCAGCAAGAGACCAGGGTGTCGAGGCTCCATGCAGGAAAGCTATGAATATAAATTCCATCTCTGAGCCAGGGCTCACTGGCCACCCTGCTCTCAAGCCCTTGACTTGGGCTCTGGGGGCCGTGGGAAGGAGAAACGTGAGTGTGGAGAGTTTGCAGCTTGTAGCTGTACTAGAGAAAGGCACAAGGATATGAATAAATTTGAATAATAATGAGGGCAATGCCTGAATTAATAAGGCTGGCTGCTCACCTGACTCACCCCTCCCTGGGATCTCAGCACCTGCCACCCTAATCTTTCAAAATGCGAGTGACCCTTATCTTTTCTTTCTTTAGAATATGTGGATGGGAAGTCGGGTTAGAAGAGTTGGGGAGCCACTCACAGAGGAGGAGACCCTGTTTCTAACTTCCTGGCCCCCTGCAGACCCAAAGAGCTGAATTTGCACACTTAACTGAGAGCAAAGAGGCTGTCTCATGTTATATTATATACTGGCCATCAGTCCATTCTTTCTCAATCCCCTTTGTGTGCAGCAACAAGTGTGGATGAATGTCAAACGTTCTGGGAGACTAAGAGGGAGGAAAGGTCGCATTCTGGTGGAACAGATGGGGTAAACACCCCCACCCACTAGCTGCCCTCTGCCCGGTGACAATCAAAAGCATGGGCATAAACCCTGACACCTTGAGATAGGAAATCCCATGGATAGAGTTATTGGGACAAGCTGTGCTTGTCTAAGGGGTCAAGTGATCAGTCTAGGAGGGCTTCCGGGAAGAGAGGAATGTGGGGCAGGTTTAGGAAGAAGGAGAGAAATGGGGCTAGAGGAGAAAAAAGAATGATGAACTAGGATCCCGCTTCTGTAGTGGCTTAGAGGGAGGTCTTGGAATGGGGAAGGGTGAGTTAAGTTTGCTTACACACAGTAGTGATGGCGGGTCAGAGAAATTTTGGAAAACTGAGTTTAGGGTTGGATTTGGGAGCTGGGAGGGAAAGAAGAGGGAAGAGCCCTTGAGTTCTGTGGAGAGCTGATTTTGGTTACCCTTGGTGTGACAGACTTGGGTGTGGCAAGGAAGCTCTAGACTTCTCCCTTTGCTGTCCCCCAGCCACTCCATCGCCTCTCTGAGTTCTGTGGAGAGCTGATTTTGGTTACCCTTGGTGTGACAGACTGGGGTGTGGCAAGGAAGCTCTAGACTTCTCCCTTTGCTGTCCCCCAGCCACTCCATCGCCTCTCCTCTCCTTTCCCCACAGCCCAGCCAAGGAGGCTGATGCCCACAGCTCCACAGCTCTGCATGGTGCCCAGGCCATCCCCCGCCACTGGGGCCAACCAGTGCTGGTTGGAGCGGGTGGGTGTGTGGGAGCAGTGGGGGAGAAGAAACCCGCAATCCAATTCCCTGCTCCATTTAGGCTTCACAATTAAAGGCAATTACTCTGCAGTTCTCTAATCAAATGCTCCCGGCCGAGCTGCCAGCCGGGCAGCCATGTGTAGCTCCTGCAGCCAGAGGGAGAGTGGAGCAAAGTCACGTGGCCTCTCAGCTCTCACAGTGCGGGAGGCCAAGTGTGTGTTGATGTGTCTGTGTATACACACTCACTCATGCCCCCTTCACTTGGGAGCAACGGGCAAACATGGTGCAGGGCAAGTGAGCCAAGAAGTGGGTTCAGAGCTACTTTGTTTTGGATGCACTTCCCACCTGGGAAGCTTCTATACACATATGTGGATGTGGGACATGCCTGCTCCATAGCATCTACCTTATGCACTTGCTGGACGCATTCATGGGGAAATTGTACCTGGTGTAATTGCATACATGTGTTGGCTCACGTTGGCTCACAGACACATGTCCAAGTAGGGGTCATGATGGTATATTCATGTGTATGGGCCCAAGTCCCAAGAATTGAGGGGGACTGCAGCATCTCCAGCAGCCTAGTTATGAATGCATCACCCATTAACATGAGCATGGGGGTGAGGCAGCAGGTCATAGAGGAAGAGCCCAGGATGTGGAGTGCAGGGGCTCAGGTTCTAATCCCAGCTCTGCCATTAACTCAGCGGGTGCTCTTGAGTAAGTTATTCTGCTTCCTGTACCTCGGTGCCCTCCTCTGTAAAATGAGAGGGTTGGACTAGATTCATCCCTAAGGCCTTTATGTAATACCACCATGCAGTTTCTGTGATTGCTAAGCACTTCAGCTCCTGAAACCCATTCCCATGGGCCATGGAGGGAGAAAGGAATAAGGGGCGAGCACATGACATCTTGGAGGGAAGGGTTGGGGCTGAAGTGGTGCAGGGACAGGAGAGCCCTCTCCCCAGCCTGAGGCTCTCTCCCTCTTGCCTCTTGCAGGGTGGGAGTGGGAGCCGCAAGGGGGTGCCTTTTGATGTAGCCTCTTCTCACTCACCTCCTTACCCAGTGCCTGCTTTGGCTTTATCAGGGACCCAGACCCGCTTCAGCCAGGAGCCAGCCGACCAGACTGTGGTGGCTGGACAGCGGGCCGTGCTCCCCTGCGTGCTGCTCAACTACTCTGGGATTGTGCAATGGACCAAGGATGGGCTGGCCCTGGGCATGGGCCAGGGCCTCAAAGGTGAGTGGGGCTGCCTGGCCACCCCAGCATCCAGACCATCCCATCTTCACCCTAACCCCCGACTCCCAGTGTAGACTCCTGGACTCGCCATTCCTGGGTATCCTCACCACACTCTTTGTGCTCGAGCCTCCCCTCTCCCTCTCCTCCTAAGCTCCGCTTTCCCACCCTGCAGCTCTGCCTTTTCTCACGACTGTGGACTGGCTCAAGAAAGACAGCGTGAAGCCTGAGCGATCAAGAGAAACCACGAGACCTTTACATAAGAGAACCTCAGACAGACAGACAGACACCATGAGGGGTGCTGCAGGCAGATGGAGGTCAGGCAGGAGGTGCTGGGAAGCCATGGGGTCTGCTGCAGGGGTGGGGAGAGCACAGCAACTTCTGTGTCTCACAAGTGTTTCGTGCCGGACTGGCTCTGCTCCAGCTTCTCTCCTCCCCCCTGCCCAGGCAGTGTCTGCTCAGAGGCCAAAAACTCATTTCAATATCAGCCTAAGCACTTATTTATTTATTCATTCAACGAGCCTTTATTAAGCACTGGCTGTGTAGCCGGTGCTGAAGCAAACATAATGAGTCAGTCAAAAACAAAAACACCCACCTCCTATATTCCAAAGTAAGCAAAGAGACCTTTGGAAAATCCGCCTGGTGGAGAAGAGTGGATGGGGAGTCAGGACACCTGGCTTCTAGTCCTGCCTCCACCACCTATCTGATGGGTGACCTTAGGAAAGCCACTTCACCTCTCTGGCCTCAGTTTACTGATGTGTGAAACGGGCATAATAGTTGCAGACCTCACTGCCTTAAAAGTGCATTTGTGAGTTTTGAACCCAATGAGAGAATATGCATTGTGAAAACATATTCTTAGCTGTAGAGCGCTGTAATGATGTAAGTATGGCGGGGTGTGTGTGTATATTTTTTTATTGTTGAGGGGATTGAGGTTATTTGCTGTGGGTTCCATATATTAGTATAGGTAGAGGAAATTTGTGCAGAGCAATATGTATAAAGGAAAGAGATGGGTCTGGTGGATATATTGATAATAGAGAAACTGGGAGAGAGAGATCAATCGATATGGAGTAAGAAGAATCAATAGCCTTTGGACAGAGGGAGACAATGGGAGGATGGGAATGTGAGAGTGGACGGCAAGGGAGTGGGAGGGGTGGGTGGGCATCTGGAGGAAGGAAGGGAACGGAGACTGACTTGGAGAGGGCCAGAGGCTCAGAGGACCCCCCACCTCGGCCACCGTGTCTGCAGGGAAACAGCCCTTGTTCAGGGGCTCCTTCAGGGGGCCGGCAGCCCCCGCCTCATCCATCCCTCTCACAGCCTTGGCCTGCCTTGGGCTTCCCTGTGCCTTGCGAGTCCCGGTGAGCTCACGTTTGAGCTGCGGTGCCCTATATTTCCTAGCGCCCACGCACTCTCCCTCTCTCCCCCTCTCCTCTTCTCCCTGCTGTCTGCCTTTTTTCCCCTCTCTTTCTCTTCTGTTATTATGAGAGACATTTGTCTGCAAACAGCTTCAGAGATTTCATCTGCTCCTGCTCATGTCCCCGCTTCTTCTTGCCCTCCTGGCTGCTCCTCCTGCTTGTGGCTCCCAGCGCCACCATGGGGAGTCATGACATCACCATGTCTGTGTCTGGGACCTCCTGATCTCACCTGCCAGTGTGTCCCAGAGAGGACACTGGGAGGAGTGCTGGCCTGGGATGGTTGTGGGTGCTGGCCTGGGATGAGAAGTCAGAGGTGGATGTATCCCGGGGCCAGGGCAGTCCCAGTTCCAAGCTTGGGCCTCACCCTTTCTGCTCTTTCTGTTTCTGCAGCCTGGCCACGGTACCGGGTGGTGGGCTCTGCGGACGCCGGGCAGTACAACCTGGAGATCACAGATGCCGAGCTCTCTGACGACGCCTCTTACGAGTGCCAGGCCACGGAGGCCGCCCTGCGCTCCCGGCGGGCCAAACTCACTGTGCTCAGTAATGACCCCAGCGCCCCTTCCGTGCCCCTGAAGCCCCCTGTCTCTCTGCATCAGTCTCTCCTCCTCTCCAATTTCGTCCTTAATTTCCCAGCTTCTCCTGCCCTGTTTCTGGCCTTGTCCCTGCCCCACAACCCCTACTATCTCCCTGGTTCTCCCTCCCAGCTCCTTCTCTAAGCTTCCAAACCCGAGTGCAGATAGAAGAGAGTAAACGGAGATGTGGGCAGTGCCTGGCATCCTCCCTGCTCCAGCCTATGCCCAGGCCATTCAAGGACAGGGCTTTTTGCCTCCTGGACATACAGCTGTGGAGATAAGTCTCTCCCCACAGGAGCGGAGAAGTGTGGGGGTGATGGAGACAGGGCTCTTCACCTTGCCAGCTTTCCTGGCTGACAGGCTCATTGGGGAGGGAACCACTCCCCTCTTCCTTTGGTCCCTCTCTGTGCCTTTTTCTCCTCACCCAGCCTCACCCAGCTCTCCTCCCTGGGCCGCCTCCTTTCCTCCCTCAGTGCTCACCCTTTCTCTCAGATTCATGGGGAAGCGTGGGGAGGCCTCAGGAGACAGGGAGAAGGACTGGAAGGAATGGGCCTGAGGGCTGAGTCTGGGAGGGGGTGGGGCCGGGGGTCCTGCTATGCTGGTCTAAGGGCTTGTCTCTTGGAAGCCATGCACAGGCAGCTGCCCACAGGGGCACAGAGCAGATGTCCCTCTATGGTAACCCCCGGGGCCATTTGCATAATGAGGGGACTCTCCTGCATGCAGCACAGGAATGAGGCCAGCCCCTTCTGACTCTCTACAGGCCCCACTCAGTCTTTCTGTTTCCCACCGGCTCTGAGGCCTCCTGTGCCCCTGCCTCTGATGTGCTTTCTGTCTCGGGCTTGGACTCTGTCTGCCTGTAGCCCTGTCTTCCCTGTTGTCATTAACTCTGTCCCTGTCTTTTTTCCTGCCTCCATTTGATCTGTTCTGTTCCCCCTTTTCCCTTCCTCTCACCTGAAGTCATCAAAGTGGGGAAAGACCCCAGGATGTATGGGAGAAAAGAGAGAGGAACTGGAATGAGAGTAGCTTGGACACAAGGAAGTTCTTTATTAGGAAGGTGGGGAATGTGATGGTAGCCTGAGTGTAGCAGGAAGAGTCCTGGACTGCGGGAGTCAGGAGACCCGGGCTGAGGTTACACCTTGGCCATTTCGGCATCATGAGGGTGAGGAGGTCATGCCCTCTGGGCATGGGTTTTCTCTTCAGTAACGTGGCATAAAGATGCTGCCTTTTCTTAGTAACTGCAGCTTTGCTGCTTCCTGCACAGGGAGTTGTAAACTGAAGGTCTGGGTGAGATTGAGGTGTCAGGATAAGTGACGACCAGAGGGACCCAACTACCAATTCCTTTGGATGTGAGGGCCCTGGAGGATCAGGATTCAAGGCTGGCGGGTGACCTGCTTTTCCTCTCCAGAACTAAAATGGGAAGAATTACAAGAAGCAGGATGGAGGTGAGAGAGCAGGAACTAGAGGGTGGTCACGGGATGCCACGACATCTTTTGTCCCTTTTTGGAGAGTATGAGCCCCCATGCTGGGCAGGAATTCCAAGGGAACCACGAGTCTCTTAGGAAGACTTCTTTCATTTTTCTTCCCTAACTGCCTCTATTTTGGACCCTGGAAGGTGCTACGTCTGCCCTGGAGAACTTCCGTCCTAATGAGGGAGCCCTGATACGCTTCTCTTTTCTCTCCTACCTCAGCACAGAGACAGAGACAGAGAGATGAAAAAGGGCCCCTAGGTGTTGTTGCCAATAATAAGGACTTACAATGGCTTCCAGTGGTTTGATTCAATCAAGGAAGGCTTCCTGGAAGAGGGAATATCAGTGAGACCCTAGATGGGAGAGTGCCTTGTTACAAAGCTTGTAGGTCAATGAGACAGAGCTACATGAAGGCATCTGACTGTCGCGCTTGAGGATGTGGCAGGTGCTGAGAGTGTGGGCCTTCATGGCCTGTCTGGGTGATTTGGATGGATGAGAGGAGCAGGGAAAGGCCCCAAGAGGAAAAGAGCTGAAAGGGTGGCAGGAGTGGTGAGTCCATTGCTCCTTTGCCCTCCTTCTCTCCCCTCCTTGTCTCTCTCTTGAATGCTCAGACACCTGGCCACCTGCACCGCCTGGAGGCAGTGAGGAGGTGTGCATTTCCCACATCCCCTCCCTCTTACCTCTACCTAAAGCCTTTGCTCATGGCAGCCTGGGGCCCAGAGACTGGCAGGGTAGAAGTGAGGAGTGGGCTGTGCCCAGTGCCTTGGATCAGCCTCCCTGCACACTGCTAGCCTCACACACTCCCTGCACCCGCAGCCACTCCCCTCATGTGCCCACCTCCCCAGGCCAGCCTTCTTCATGGAATGGCCCCTCTCATTCTTCCCTAAGGCAGGGCTTTGAGAGAAGGCCTCCCACTCCCCCTCAGATGCAGATGCAGACAAAATATAGATCTACAGACCTACATCTCTCTCATTATTCACAGCGATAACAACTCGAGTGCAGCGGTGATGAGCATGACTGGGGTCAGGCGGGCCTGGTCCACAGCCCAGCGCTGCCGTTTAGCTCATTCTCCTGTCTCCAAGCACATTTGCTTAACCTCCCTGAGCCTCAGTTCCTTGTCTGTAAATTGGGGTTAATGATATTTACCATGAAAAGATTAAGGAAATATACTTTGTGGTAAGGATTAAATGAAATCGTATACAAGAGGCACTTTGGCTGACACAAGATAAACATTCAGTGAATGACAGAAATTATTGTTGATCACATTTCACTTTACAGTTGGCTTCACATCCTTGATCTCATTTCTCCTCCACAATAACAATGGGGAGTACGTGTCAATGGTTGTTTTTGAAATTTAACAAACAAGGAAACTGAGGCCACATACACAGGCATATTGATATACAAATTTAAGTCTCAGATCATAAAAACATGCTCATAAACATATGCACACACGGACTCCTGCCCTCTAACAGCTCTCAGACACCTCAACAGCCTTATGTTCCTTTGTCCCAGATATGGAGGGTGGAGATGGGCTCGTGGAAGGTGGGCAGAGTTTGGCAAATTCTAGAGAAAGGTGTGTTGGTGGCAGAGGTGACAGATGGACGGTCTTTGCCTGAACAAAGGGAAAGGGAAGATTACAAGGGCAGGGAGAGCCGATGGGAGGAGACACCTGCCTTCCACACAGAAGGGACTGTGCACTTCTGGGTCTGGGTGTGGTGTCTCCACCTGTAGAAGCTCAGGGCTGTGCTCAGCCAGGATCTTACTCCTGGGGGTGGCAGCAGGTGCGATGTTGGAGGGGCCCAGGTGGACCAGGAGACCCTCAATGGCAGCTCCTTATCCATTTCTCTCTGCCTTTCTCTACTGCTCAAGCTGCTTCCTATCCCCATCCCCAGCCCTACACCCTTCTGGCATTGGAACCAGGTACACCAGGGAGCAAGGAGGAGGAACTAGGGATTCAGAGGATGATTAGCCAGGCAGGAATCGGAGCCACTGCTGGCTGTCATCCAGGCAGTGAAGCTAACCCATTCTACACATCATGAGTGCCCTGAACAAATGGTCTCTATACAGTACCTCATCTGACCTTCATGAGAGCCCAGTGAGTGGGCATTGTTAGGTCTCTGATGAAGAAACTGAGGCCCAGTGATTTTAGGGACTCACCCAAGATCACATGACAGGCAAGCAAAGGTGTCAGGATTTGAAACTGGGGCAGCCTGATTCTAAATTTTATTTTTTTCCAACTATACCACCCAGCATGCCTGAATGGAACAGAATGCTGGACAGGCTGGCCTGTTTCTACTGGACACCCTCACAGGGAGCTCTTCACTTCACAAATTCTATGGCAGCTTATCCCACCACTGGACTCCATGGGCCCCCCAAGGTCCCCTCTTGAAGGTTCCCTCTGGAAAGCTCCCTCAGAGTATCTCTTGTCTATCCCAGAAAGAAGCAAAGAAAATCCTTTCTCATTTCAGGATGATGAGCATTGGGTGGACCAGAAACATTATAACCCAAATCCTTCTGCCTTTATCTTCTCAATCACTCATTCGTTCAGCACATTTCTCCTGGGACCTGCTATCATCCAAGCTCTGGGATAGACTTTGGGGTTTAAGAGTAAATAAGAAGCAGACCCTGTCCCAAGAGAACTCACAGTCTGGTTCACCTTAGGATTTAGAAGCCTGTGGGGAAAGGGCAGTGAGAGGCCCTGTTTGCTAGCATCAGACATCCCATCATTTATTTCCTTAAGCATTTTTCTTTTCTTTTTTTTTTTTTTTGTCCTTTATTATGAGACCGGCCGCACCGCACTCAGCCAGTGAGCGCTGTGAGCGCACCGGTGGTCAGCCCTATATAGGATCCGAACCCGCGGCGGGAGTGCTGCTGTGCTCCCAGCCCCGCACTCTCCCGAGTGCACCACGGGCTCGGCCCACCTTAAGCATTTTTCAAGAGCCTACTTTGGCCATTTTCTAGGCACTAGAGGCCATATAAATATTAGCAAGACTGGGTCCCTGCTTTTTCAGGGGATAAGTTTGTGTTTGGGGCAGAGGTAGAAAACATTCATAAGTAACCCAGATCCAAGGTGGACAGTGTTGAGAGGTCTGAGCGCCACTCTGGAAGCACTGTTGGGGTGTGGGGGTAGGGCATGGCATGGAAAGCCTTGTACCTCACTTGGGGTATGAACAAGGTGGGTAGCATTTCCACAGAAACTGTGAGGGAAGGACACGCCACATGGGAAGATCTACATAAGCAAAGACAAGGAGGTGAGAAATTTCAGGTCTTGGCTCAGTCTTAGCTGTGCTATAGGAAAAATAACCTGCTAGCAGTGTGACCGATGGCACACCCATCTAGGTGCCCCAGGGCAGAGGAGCAGACAGGAAGGAATGGGTGCAAGAAGCCCCACCCCGAGACAGCCCAGCCTTTCCTGAGTTTGAGGCCACCCCCTCCATCTGTAGTATGTAGCCTGATCAACAGTAGGGGCACATAGCACCAGAAAATAGTTCAGCCTGGGAAAGAAAAACGGAGGGGGATGGGGAAGCTGTGTGAGCTGAGGCCCTTAGGTGAAGCCACCACAGGAGCAATGGATACTGTGACTGTAAACTAGGAGGTAGGGGTGGCACCACCCTGCCAAGAAGTGGGCATGCAGATGGAGGGATGTCCCCAGGGTTAGGGATCTCAGTCATCAGGGGAGTATTAGACCCACCCTGCGCTGACTTTGCTCTGCTCTCCCCAACAGTCCCCCCGGAGGACACCAGGATTGATGGGGGCCCCGTGATTCTGCTACAGGCAGGCACCCCCCACAACCTCACATGCCGAGCCTTCAATGCCAAGCCTGCCGCCACCATCATCTGGTTCCGGGATGGGACACAGCAGGAGGGTGCCGTGGCGCAGGCAGGCACCCCCCACAATCTCACATGCCGAGCCTTCAACGCCAAGCCTGCCGCCACCATCATCTGGTTCCGGGATGGGACACAGCAGGAGGGTGCCGTGGCCAGCACGGTGAGACCCTGCCTACTTCCCCAGATCCTTTTGGACTCAGCCCAGGTCACCTTTCCTTTCCAGCAGGGGTTTGATCATGGACTCAGGGGGCCACAGATGTGACAGGGGGCCTTAATTGTCATCCGATCCGACCCTCTCATTGTACAGTTGGGAAAACTAAGAGAAGAGTGTTGGGCCTTTAAAAAACTAACACCACCTTAAAGTGAAGCCCCAGGTCTACAAGGCCATTCAGTAGCTGAGCAAAGACTAAGAATAATAGTAATGATAGGTGCCATTGATTAAGCACCTATTGTGTGCCAGGCCCTGTGCATGCTAAGCACTTTATGGACAGTCTGTCTTAGTCCTCACAGGAATCCCATAAAGTAGGCATTGTCAGAGAGGTTGAGTGACATGCCCAAGATCACACAGCTACTAATCAGCAGAGCTGGAACGTACACCTGGGTCTGATTGTACTCTCTCCACTAATCACTTCCACCTCCTTCCTTCAGCATCTAGTTGGCACATTATCCCAGTTGTCACAACTGAGAGGTTGGGCAAGCAGGATTATTGTATACATTTTACAGATGAAGAAGTCATGACAGGGAAAGACACCAAGTGACTTGACCAGGATCACATGGCAGAGTTGGTGGTAGAGCCGGAATTAGAATCCAGACCTTCTGTTTGGGGTCCCTGCTGCCAGCTGCGGGCAAACACGGCTGTGTACCAGCCCTCTGCTAGGAGCTGCAGGAGACGCTTCTCACTGTGGAGAGAGGCTGCTCACCTGTGCTCCTCAGAGTGCGACCCCCAGGGATACCTGGATTCTGGCTTCAGCTCTGCATTTAATGCACTGTGTGACCTTGGACAATCCACTTCACTTGTCTCTGGCCTTAGTTTCACCATCTGACAAATGATAACCAGCTTCAGTGGTGCTTACCTTTCCTTACGAGAATTCTTATCTTGCTAACCTAAGGCTACATGTTTTGAAATATTTTGACAGCTAAACAAGTAGATCTGTGAGTGGCCATTTGTCTGTACCCACCCTTTTCATATTCATTAAAGACAGTGGAGCTTGGAGCATGCCAAGGGGGACAGGGTTACTGCACTGGCCTGCTCCTGCCCTGGTCCAGCAGAGATGCACGTATGGCTGCCAAACTGTGGGGGACTCACTTTGCTTAATAGAATGGTTTCCCTTAGTCAGTTCGCACCATGGAAAACAGCTTGAGGGTTCCTGTGACCATATTCAGGGACCTCAGGTTAGATGCCACTGAGCCAGTGTGAGACTTTGAGCCTATGAATCCCTTCCCTGCCCTCAAGGAGTTTATGGTTTAGCAAGAGAGACCCAACACTGAAACACACACAGTGCCTGTGAGCAAGGCTAGAGGTGCCTAGAACCGTGTGCAGAGCAGAATGACTATAAGGTGCACAAGTTCAGGCCGGGAGACAGTCCTGAGGGCTGCGCTGGCTGAGGAAGGCTTTCCAGGAGAGGAGGGACTTACACTGGACTTAGAGAATTCCAGGAATGAGGCTCAAATCCATGGGAAAACTACAACACAGAGTGAACTGTAACATAAACTATGGACTTAAGTTAGTAATATATCATATTGGTCCGTCAGCTGTAAGAAAAGATCACACTAATGCAAGATGTTAATGGGGAAACCTGGAGGTGGGGGAGGAGGGTATATGAAAACTCTCTGTACTTGCCGTTTAATTTTTGTGTAAACTTAAAACTGCTCTAAAAGAAAGTCTATTAGTAGAAACAAAAAACAAAAACAGGGAAGAGGTTGGAGGAGGGGAGGGGCTAAGCTTTAGGCTAATGTGCCCCTTCAGCCCAAGCCCATCTCTGAGTCAGGTCACCTTTAGAGCAGAGGAGGGGGCTTTTAACTTGACTTTGTCCCACCCCAGGAATTACTGAAGGATGGAAAGAGGGAGACCACCATTAGCCAGCTGCTCATTAACCCCACAGACCTGGACATCGGGCGTGTCTTCACCTGCCGCAGCATGAACGAGGCCATCCCTAGTGGCAAGGAGACTTCCGTCGAGCTTGATGTGCATCGTGAGTGGGTCCTGGGGAGGAGCAGTCTGGGGCAGTGAGGTGGGGAGGGGAATGTAGGCAGCCTTTTGAGAGGCACAGAATAAGAATCTTCTAGAGGTCCTAGGACAAATGCTTACTTTCCCATCCCCTTTGACTTCCTGGTTTGAACTGTGGACACTAAGCTGGTAGAACGAGCATTGGCTGTGGAGTTAGGCAGTCCCTGGGTCTAAACCAGCGTGTGATTTTGGGCAACACTTAATCTCTCTGAGCCTTAGCTTCTAATTCTGTGTACTTGCAGAAAGTAAAATACAGGCCGCAAGCTCTTATCCACAATTCCAATCTAAAAGTTTCTTGATGACAAAACTTGAACTGAGGCTCTTCATTGTCTTTTATTTAACGTGATGCTCTTACGTTTCACGAGAGATATATTACTGTGTGTGACTATGGGGTGTTGCCCAGACACTGCTGAGGGTCTTACATAATAAACTATCTATGCACAGTGTTACCTTTCTAAAATTAAAAAAAAATTACAAATTCTGAAACATCCAGTCCCAGGGGTTTCAGTTGAGATTATGGACCTGTACCTGCCTCTTGGGGAGGTGAGCACTAAATTAAATGTAACATTTAAGAGCATCTAGCATGGAGTGTGCTTGCCTCTTGGTGCTCAATAAATTCCCTCTGAACAGGGAACCGTGGGGGTGTGGGCAGCAATTGGGGATGCTCTCCCTGTCCCTTTTAGTGAACCAAATGAGCCCACACTGACGCTTAGTGGCCACGGTGGGTCATTACATGCATTGACACAATTTGTCCCTTCGGTGCCATCCTTGGTGGTCACTCTAGCCAGGCCCCTAGAGGCTCCATGTGGAAGAGGTGAGAAAGATAGCTTATTTGTTGGAGCTGGTACACTGCAAACTCCAATTCCCACATCACCCCAGAGTGGTGAGGGCTGAATGTATGTGTTAGGGAGGGAAAAAGAAACTCGAGGGACAGAAAAGACCCTGATTTCCTGTCCCCATCTTTGCAGACCCTCCTACAGTGACCCTGTCCATTGAGCCACAGACGGTGCAGGAGGGTGAGCGTGTAGTGTTTACATGCCAGGCCACGGCCAACCCCGAGATCCTGGGCTACAGGTGAAAGGGCTGAGGGCTGGAAGGGCCCTGGGAAGTAGCACTAGAGGGGCTCTTGAGTCCAGGAGTAGTGGGGGGTACTCAGGGAGGTCAGGAGTGGTGAGGGGTTCTGGGGGAGACCAGTAGTGGTGAGTGGTGCTGGGTGAGGCCAGGAGTGGTGGGGGGTGCTGGGGAAGATCAGGAGTGGTGGGGGGTACTGCGGAAGTCCAGGAGTGTTAGGGGTGCTGCGGGAGGCCAGAAGTGATGAGGTGGCTGGTGGAGGCCAGGAGTGGTGGGGGTGCTGGGGAAGTTCAGGAGTGGTGGGGGTGCTAGGCGAGATCAGGAGTGGTGGGGGGTACTGCGGAAGTCCAGGAGTGTTAGGGGTGCTGCGGGAGGCCAGAAGTGATGAGGTGGCTGGTGGAGGCCAGGAGTGGTGGGGGTGCTGGGGAAGTTCAGGAGTGGTGGGGGTGCTAGGCGAGATCAGGAGTGGTGGGGGGTACTGCGGAAGTCCAGGAGTGTTAGGGGTGCTGCGGGAGGCCAGAAGTGATGAGGTGGCTGGTGGAGGCCAGGAGTGGTGGGGGTGCTGGGGAAGTTCAGGAGTGGTGGGGGTGCTAGGCGAGATCAGGAGTGGTGGGGGGTACTGCGGAAGTCCAGGAGTGTTAGGGGTGCTGCGGGAGGCAAGAAATGATGAGGTGGCTGGTGGAGGCCAGGAGTGGTGGGGGTGCTGGGGGAGGCCAGGAGTGGAGGCAGGTGCTGGGGGAGGCTGGGGTCACTGAATGTGGTTGGGAAAAGTCCAAGCCTTGATCCCACCTCCGTGTCGCTTCCTTCCCCAGGTGGGCCAAGGGGGGTTTCTTGATTGAAGACGCCCATGAGAGTCGCTATGAGACGAATGTCGATTATTCTTTCTTCACGGAGCCTGTGTCTTGTGAGGTTCACAACAAAGTGGGGAGCACCAATGTCAGCACTTTAGTAAATGTCCACTGTGAGTAGCTGGAAGGGCAGGGCCTGGGGTGCAGTGGGGCAGCTCCCTGAAGTGGGAGGAGATGGGATAACCATGGGCAGGTATTAGGGCAGGAGAAGGAAGAGCAGACTGAGTGGAGTTGAGCGCCAGGGAGCTGGAGACCCTAACAAGCTGCTTCTTTCTACCTCAGTTGCCCCCAGGATCGTAGTAGACCCCAAACCCACGACTACAGACATTGGCTCTGATGTGACCCTCACCTGTGTCTGGGTTGGGAATCCTCCCCTCACCCTCACCTGGACCAAAAAGGACTCAAACATGGTAAGACTCTCACTGCCTATCCTGAGTGCTGGGAGGAACGGGCATGGCCATAGGTGGGGGGTGCAGAGGGGCCAGGAAGGTTTAGCAGCATTTTTCAAGTTGGACCCGAGCTATATGTAGCCCTTGGGATTTGGAGGAGGACAGTGCTTGCAGTCACCCCCAACCCTTCTCACGGGACAGCTGGCCAGGTCAGAGGCCGTGGATAGGACAGAGAGGCCTGTGCTTACACATGGAAGTGGTGGAGGGTGGGAAGAGGGACTGAGGTGCAGCTGCTGCAGCGGCCAAATCTGGTAAAGTCGTGCTGTACAGGAAGGTAGGGGAGCTGGCGTGATCCACTAGAGAAGAGGTTAGATTCTACAGCTCTGAAGAGACCACATTAGACAGTTTGGGGCCAGTATTGCAGGAAGAGGAAGTTCTGAGTAAAATGTCCTATGTCATTTGGCAATAAAAACACTAGAACAGATCATCAGAAGAGGCTGCATCCTCTTAAAATTACTGCAGGCTTCACCTGCCCTTTCCGGCAGAGATGGGGTGTTTTCTCTCCAACCTGTTTAGAGTCAGGGGATGGACCATATGGACTCGGGAGTTTCATTTCCCTATTAGGGATTCACTTGTGGCCCTTCCTGCTTTCTTTCCAATGCCTCCAATGCGGGGGCCCGCATGGACCTAGGGGCCCAGGCCTCCTGGCTCCCCACCCGAGGCTGCTCTCTCTGCCCAGGTCCTGAGTAACAGCAACCAGCTGCTGCTGAAGTCGGTGACTCAGGCAGATGCCGGCACTTACACGTGCCGGGCCATTGTGCCTCGGATTGGAGTGGCTGAGCGGGAGGTGCCGCTTTACGTGAATGGTGAGTGGCCCGAGAGGCAAGAGGCGGCTGGGGCCGGGGCATGCAGCACTGCGGATTCCAGCGGCACTGACTGTGTCTTCTTGCTTGCAGGGCCCCCCATTATCTCCAGCGAGGCGGTGCAGTATGCTGTTAGGGGGGACGGTGGCAAGGTGGAGTGCTTCATCGGGAGCACACCACCCCCAGACCGCATAGTGAGTGCTGGGCCAGCCTCGGACAGGCCGGCCACCTGCTGCTCCGCTGGCGCCTGGCTTCGCTCCTTCCACTTCCCCATCCCTTCTCTGCATCTCTAATCCCCTGCCTTTCTGTCCCTGTATCCCTTTACCTGCTCAAATCCCACCTCCTCCCTTACCTGTGTGACCCTGAGCTTTGAACCTCGGTTTCTTCATTTGTAAAACAGAGGCAATTACCTGTCCTAATAGGGTCGCAGTGAGAAGTCATTGCAGCAACAGGTGTGGAAAGCTAGGGAGCGTCTGGCTCCTCCTCAGCTCCCTCTCTTTCCCCTTGGCTGGCGCACTTGCTCTCTTCCTCTCCCCCCTCCTGCCCTGTCATTTAGCCCCCCCCCCGTCTTTTCCTTGCTCCCCCCTCTTCCCTCCTGCCCTCCCCCCTGCCCCTTCCTCCCTCCCGATCAGTTCTCCTTCCCACCCGCCCCTCCTTTCTCCCTCTGCCGTCCTCCTACCAGCCCCCCCCCTCCTCCCCTCCCGCCTCTTTCCTCCCCCCCACACCATGAGCCATTAATTCCTTCTGTGACCATTAACCGTCAAACCCCTCATCACATTTAATGACCATTTGGCTAACTCCAGGGCTGCCCAGGGACACTTCATTACCACGGCCGTCGGGCAGTGGCGGCTCGGCTCCCAGGGGTTTCTGTGCAGCGTTAGGAGGATTAATCCCTGGAATGGAGCCAGTTCTCCCTGCTCCCCCTCCCGCGGGCTCCACTCTGAGGGTGGGGCCATGCCGGGGCTGGGGTGAGGTGGGGTGGGGGTCCCTGTCCGGGAGGTCTGGGATGGAGGCATCTGGGTGTTCTCCTCTGTCTCCTGCCTATTATAAGAGTCTGTGGATGGGCCTCTGAGCCACCCAGGCAGGTTATGCTAAGTTAGAATCACAGACTATCAGAGCTGGAAGAAACCTGGAGTGCTGTCTAGCTCTAGCCTGCACTTCTCATTTTACAGGTGAAGAAATGAGGCCCAGAGAGGGAAAGGGAGGCCACACAGGGACTGGGGGCAGGGAGGAGCCAGGATAGGAGCCCTGTGTTCCTGAGTCCCAGTCCAGAACTTTGTCTGGATGTCCCGGGTTCCCAAATTTTGGGTCATTGGATCAGTTGCACCTACTTTACATGGGATTGTTATAGAAACAGATTCCTAGGCCTCTCCCGTGGAGATGCATATTTAGGACATAAGCCCCAAGAACCTACATTTTAAAGACCCTCCCTAGGTAAATCTGATGTCAGCCATGTTTGGGAGCCACTGCTCCTCCTACAGTGGAGATTCAGTGCAGGGGTTTGAGGCAGGTGTGACATAGGTTTGCTACAGGGTGACTGTTGGGCTGGGCTTAGGGGCACACATGAGGGTGGGAGTGCCTTGAGGGTGAATGAGGTGACACCTGGGCATGTGCTTCTGCCACCTGCCCCTTTCTTAGCTTTCTCCTGCCCTCCTCACCCCAGGCATGGGCATGGAAGGAGAACTTCTTGGAGGTGGGGACCCTGGAACGCTATACGGTGGAGAGGACCAACTCAGGCAGCGGGGTGCTGTCCACGCTCACCATCAACAATGTCATGGAGGCCGATTTTCAGACCCACTACAACTGCACTGCCTGGAACAGCTTCGGGCCAGGCACGGCCATCATCCAGCTGGAAGAGCGAGGTGACTGGCAGTGCTGGCTGTCCCACTGGGGTGTAGAGCCCCCTGGGGTTTTTGTTCCTTCTCTCCAGGGGCAGGGCTCAGAGGAGAAGCTTCTCTTTGACTCCCCACCAGAACCTGGTCTTGGTGCTGAGCTGGGGAAATCTACCCACTTTGTTAATGTTTACTGAGTATCTGCTCTGTGCCACGCTCTGCACAAGGGGCTACAGGGACAGCCGTGAATGACACAGTCCCTACCCTCAGGAAACTTTCAGTTTAGTGGAGCCACTTACAGAGTGGCAGCAAGTGAATTCAGATGGAGAAAAATCAAATGGGCTGTAAAAGGGAGTAACACTACCTGTCTCAGGGGGTTCTTGTGAGGGAGGATTAAGTGAGAAGACATTTACAAAATCCCTGGCATATTCGAGGTGCTCAGTAGGTTTTGGTTCCTGACCTCTTCAAGGATCCTTCACTTGATAGGAGAGAATGTTCCCTCCCACAGGGCACTCCTAGCATGGTAGAGGAGACATTACCTCTGGCTTTGGAAGCTCCCAAGTCTGATGAGGGAAAGATGGCATTTTGGTTTTTGTTTGTTTAGTTCTTTGAGAACTAGCCATTTGACATGGGGGATGGGAACCCCATGTAAAATAACTGGGGATCCCAGCAGTTCATTCTTAGCTGATGCCAGCAAGGGGGTGGGGTGGGGAAGAAGAGATCCATGGAGGAAAGTGGGGCTCAGCAGGGAAGGATCACAGAGGGGAAGAGCTGTAAGCAGGATCTGGATTCAACGAGGACTTCCAGGAAGAGACAGAAGGCTGGAGGCAGAATTCCCGAGTTCCTTCTGGGAAGCCCGGAGGACCAGGGAAGACTGTGTGAGCCCTGGGTGGACAGGTGCAAATGCGGTGGCCACAGTGGTGTGGATGGGGAGGTGGTGAAAGAGGTTGGGGCGCAGATGGCAGATAGGAGACTTCGGAGACTGACCTCAAACAAAAGTCCAGCTCAGGAAGGAGGAACTATGCCACGGAGTCAGGTGGACTGAAGGAGAGGGACAGACAACCAAGGCCAGGGTCAAGTTGATGCCAGCTGCAGGGATGAGACATGACCATGACCTCAATTCCGTTCAAGCTGAAGCACAGACCTAAATCCAACCACAATGTAGACCTTTCTCTCAAATCCACCTTTGACTTAAACCTAACACTGTGCACAGGTCAGTCTAAACTTAAGCCTGTACACAGTTCACGGTTGCCACTGTAGCTTTCGGCCTAAACTTCGGCCAACACTGAGCTCAGATCCCCAGTGTGACTCCATCCTCACGCCTACTCCTTTCCCTCCCCACTCGGAAGAGGTGTTACCTGTGGGCGTCATCGCTGGGGCCACCATCGGCGCGGGCATCCTGCTCATCTTCTTCTTCATCGCCTTGGTATTCTTCCTCTACCGGCGCCGCAAAGGCAGTGAGTATGGGCCTGTGCAGCCTTCCCCTGGCCCTTCCAGGGCACACCACGGGCAGTGCCTGCAATGGAGGCAGGGAGTGCCAGTCCCCTGCCCAGGTGGGACCAGAAGCAGCCACTGCAGATGTCAGCAGAGAGCACCTGGTCCAGGCTGTCTCCCCCTGTCACAGGTCGCAAGGACGTTACCCTGAGGAAGCTTGACATCAAGGTGGAGACAGTGAACCGAGAGCCACTCACGATGCATTCTGACCGGGAGGACGACACCACCAGCGTCTCCACAGCAACCCGGGTCATGAAGGCCATCTACTCGGTGAGGGTCCTGCTCCCCTGGCCTACCACCCTCTTCACGTTCTTAGCATCAGCTCCACCCCTGCCCTATAATAACCACCATCATTTTCTCCTCCTTGGTCAGCCAGCCCTGGTCCTGCCACACACACACACTCACACTCTCACTGTCACACGCACTGGGCTAATTTCCCTCCAGCAGAGGACAGGCAGCTCGGGTTCTCCATAGGCTTCCTTTGCTCCATCTTTCCCCTACAGGCTGTCAAAGTTGGAAGTCTTAGAAGTGTGCTGGTCCCACAGCCACATCACTGAGATGAGGAAACATTCCCGAGAGTGACAGGAGGTCACATTGCATGTTAGCAACCCGATTAGTGCTAGAACCCAGGTCTCTAGCCTCTTCCCACCACATCCCAGAACCTCCACTGGGACAGGGCACAGAATTCAAGTCCACCCTTGACTCCAGACCTTTCCACTAGCGGGTGGCTTCTAGGCATGGGGATGGTGTTGGCAGGGATTAGTGCTAGAACCCAGGTCTCTAGCCTCTTCCCACCACATCCCAGAACCTCCACTGGGACAGGGCACAGAATTCAAGTCCGCCCTTGACTCCAGACCTTTCCACTAGCGGGTGGCTTCTAGGCATGGGGATGGTGTTGGCAGGCGGGGATAGGAGCAGGGTCTCCTCCTGACGCCCCACTCCTGCTGCTCTGCAGTCCTTTAAGGATGACGTGGATCTGAAGCAGGACCTGCGCTGTGACACCATCGACACCCGGGAGGAGTATGAGATGAAGGTGGGATAAAAGGAAGGGGCCAGGGCATGAGGGCTGCTGGGAACGTGGGGTTCTGAGGGCCTGCACGGTGGAGGTGAGAGCAGGCTTGGGGAGGAACAGGCAGGAGGTTTATTGAAGGAGTGGAGGAGGTGGGATCACAGAGTCAGAGGAGGAGGTTCAAAAGACCATGGCGAGACTTGATCCCATCACAAGAGAGAACCCCTGCCTTCATCCTCTTCTCTCATTGCCCCCTAGGACCCCACCAATGGCTACTACAACGTGCGTGCCCATGAAGACCGCCCGTCTTCCAGGGCAGTGCTCTATGCTGACTACCGTGCCCCTGGCCCTGCCCGCTTCGATGGCCGCCCCTCATCCCGCCTGTCCCACTCCAGTGGCTATGCCCAGCTCAACACCTACAGCCGGGCCCCTGCCTCCGACTATGGCCCTGAGCCCACACCCCCTGGTCCTGCTGCCCCAGCTGGCACTGACACAACCAGCCAGCTGTCCTACGAGAACTATGAGAAGTTCAACTCCCATCCCTTCCCTGGGGCAGCTGGGTACCCCACCTACCGACTGGGCTACCCCCAGGCCCCACCCTCCGGCCTAGAGCGGACCCCATATGAGGCATATGACCCCATTGGCAAGTACGCCACAGCTACTCGGTTCTCCTATACCTCCCAGCACTCGGACTATGGCCAGCGATTCCAGCAGCGTATGCAGACTCACGTGTAGGGGCCAGAGCCTGGCTGGGGCATCTCTGCGGGGCAGAGGAGAAGGCTTTCACACTGTTCCCTGATATTCAGGGGCATTGCTTGTTACTCCCTTCTCGGACCAGCCCTCCTCCTCCCACAATGGCAGGTGGGGAGCAGGTCTCCCAGAAACACCCCATCCTGAGGATGGTGCTCTGTGCACGCCCCAGCCTCCTGGGCCTGCCATTCCCTCTTCTTCGGGAGGATGTGTCTCTTCTGACCTGTGCTCTTGCCTGACTCCAGCATGGGGACAGGGAAAGTGAAGGTTGGGGAGAGTAGAGGGGGCACTTTTTAGCATTCCCTTTTTATCCTACCCCTCTGGTCTCCCATAAGTGGAGAGGGGGGTATGCGGGGGTGGGCAGGCTCAGGCCTAGGGAACATGGAGTGTGGGAGTGGGTGGCTCTGGCACAAACTAGTGGAAAACAGGACAGCTTGTCCAGTCCCTCTGTTGCCTGCATTCGTGCCCTGGGTGCATCTTCTCTACTCAGGGTACTGCAGAAGGGACCTTGGGTTTATTTTAGCTCTCGTCTACAGAACAGCCCTGGCACTGAGTTCAAATCCAGCCCTCATTCAGCTGGGATCAAAATGCCAGTCACCCTGGCGGCCAACTGTGGACTTCAGTCAGCATGCAGAGGGACCCAGGAATCCCCAAGAGTGCTGTCCCCTTTCCTTCTCCATGCTGGCCCAGCCAGATAAGTCAGATGCAGTGGAGGAAGATAGGTCAGCACCATGTCCTGACTTGCCAGCAAGAGATGGCTGCATGCTGCAGAGCAGTTTCCACAACCAATACTAGAGGGAGCCACCCGAGCCCCCTCACACCCAATGTGCCCCACTTCCTGGCTTTGGCTCTTGAGCCTTCTTGGGGAGTGCTGGGGTGGGGGTGCTATAGGCTATTTTTCAAAGAGAAAAAACAAAACAATGAAAACCTCATTTGGAAAGTAAAGCTGTATGGATCCTCCTACCCAAATACAAGTCCCAGTGGGAAGGGGACACCTGTTCTTCTCCACCGGGTTCCTAACACCTCCATTACTCTTTCAGTCTCCAAGCACTTTGAATCCATTTTTTTAAGTTCAGGTGGTGAGACCTGTCATGCAGGTGGGATCTGACAGGGTTAGGGAGGGGCCTGGCTCAGACTGTTGTCCTACTCTAGGGCCCACCAGCTAGTTATAGGGGGCATGGAAGATGTTCTCTAGACAGGCTTTGGGTTCTTAAGTGTTTTTTCTTTTTTCCTTGGACCAATCAGATTCCTTCTTCCACTTTCAGTGCCTTGAGTGTCAAGCTTTGGCTGACCGTCCCTGAGTGGGCGGTTGTGCGGAGAGCCGGTACTTGTGAGCCTCAGACAGGCTGTCTTGCTACAGGGTTAGCAGACAAGCGGGTGGGGGGACCTGGAGAGGAAGGAGGTTGGACTTGGCTCCGGGACAGGGTGGCGCGGAAGGGCACTGCCGACATTGCACGGCCCATTCCTCCCCTCCACACCCACGTGCGCGCAGCCACACACATTCCACAGACGCTTCTCAGCCGCCACCTTCTGACCAAAGAGAACAGGCGCTCCAAAGAGAACGTGTAGCGCTGCCCTGGCCTCGCCTTCCCAAGGAGCAGTGTCTTCGGCCCTGCTGCCCCGACTGCGCGCCCAGCCCGGGGCGGGGCCTGTGGTGCGATCCCCAGGATGTGACCTGTCCTTTCTCGGTGGTCACCATTCATAGTCATGTTCGCTTTGATAAGTTACGTGCTCATCAGCCACCAGTCATCACCAGCCTTATGGAGTGACATTCCCGTCCATCCCTTTGCTGGTAAGAACCAGAGGATACCCAGGGAGCAAGTAGGTCCAGTTGCCTGCCCCAGGGTCCTCCTCCAATTCAGAAGGGGGACTTCACGCAGGGTGGACCCTACCTGGGGCATTCACAGGCTTCCAGCTGTGTTCCACCCCTGGAAGCTGACACCTTCCTGCAAAGTCCTTTTATGAGAGCGCAGTGGGGACATTTGTTAAGAATGCAGGTTCCTGTGCAGACAAATTCATGTGAATTTTTTTATTATTTTCACAGAAAACAGAAGCCATGGATCATCCAAACACTTAAAGTCTAAACGATGATGGTGGCTTTTTATACATGAATATTCCAGAAACGTTCATTTTTGTTTTGGGTTTGGTCAGATTCTCTTATTTCCCCCTTTTTGGTTTAAGTATTAGGTCCCTTCTGCTGAATTGATGGAGAGGAGGGGCCCAGGGTCGCTAGGTAACTCAGCCAAAGGTGCAGGGAGAATTGTTGAGAAAGGAAGACTAGTTTTCAGAAGCGGACACAGAGCTACTTCACTGCTTCTTCTCCTTAACACATTAACCGGGGCCTCCTGGGTGTCAAGCAAGCACTGTGCAGGGCACAGGGGAGCATCGGCCACCAAGGCAGTGTCTGCCCTCTGCAACTTACACTGTGCTGTGATCAGAATCTGAATTGAGATCTGCCTAGTAGGCCAAATGGATTAGCTTTTCTGGGGAGTGGAAGGTGCCCTTATTCACAGAGCTTTATTGTTTAAGGCTGGAATCCTCCAGTGTGGCAGTACCTCAGTACTTGGTGATTATGATCTCTTTTGACATTCTTCTTTTAGTGGGAAGGTCAAGGGGCTTGGGTTTAGGAGATCCAGGTCCCAGTTCTGAAGCTACTGTTTACTGAGTGACCTTGGCCTAACCACTTTACCTTCATTTCCCCCAATTTTCTGGCCTATAAAACGAGGGGGAGGGTTGCACAAAGCTAGAACTATTCTGATTTTGCTATATTCATTTGGTCTGGCGAGATGGGGGTGGGGGTTGCCCAGCCCTGGCAAGGACTTGGGAACAAAAAGCCAGCAGCGTGAGCCTGGGTAGCTGGGGGGTTCTCTGCTATTGAAAGAAGCTTTCATCATGGACTTCATTATCTTGTCAGAAGTACTGTAAATTAATTTCCAGCAGGTACCTCTTTATCCCAAACAGCAACAAAAAGCACATCCTAAGCCTCAGAGACAAGTTGATGTGGGGTTATCTTTAGGCCATTGGGTTACCTGTACTGCTCTCCACTCAATTCTGACAGGTTTGCAAAGGTGTCTATTGCCAGAGCAGGGCATGGTGAGTTTCCTCTACTGTGTGCCACTTACCGATCAAGGTGGAGCTTGTAATCCGAGGTGTCTTGAGCCAGAGGGTGGGGAATGAGTACAGTTCAGTCCGCTGTGAAGGAGCAGGTTGGCAGGGGAGGTGGTGGAGGGAAGATGGGGGGTGTACAGCAGTAATGACATAATCTGGATCTTGAAGACATCCTTGTGATTCTGGTGAGCCATGGTCTCTTCCCTCATGGATGGCCCAACTTGGATCTTTAATCCTGGATCCCTCCAAGTCCAGCCACAGAGTTTGCATGAAGCAAAAACTCTAACGAGTGAGAAAGGAAAATGGCCAGGGATGGAAGCAGTGCTACACTCTCACAGAGGTCTTGCTTGGAAGAAGACGTGTTAGTTTGACCACCTGTCTCTAGGTGGTATGCTCGCTCCCTATGCCAGTGGGAGAGCTTATTGTGTTTTACAGGATGGAACGGGCTGCATGGGAGTCTCTTGCCCTTGCACCTCTTGTTAACCTGTGGATACTCTATGTCAGGAGCCACAAGTCCTGGACTCCTGACAAATGGAATCAGATGGTGTCTCATGTTACTTGATCCACATGCAGAGCAATGTTGGGCCTCTTGGGTTTGAGGAAAACCACACTAAAATCAAGACCCCTCTTGGAGTGAGCTGGTTGAGTCCCTGTCTCATTCTTTGCTGTGGGGACAATTCTGTCCCCACGGCTTCTCGCATTTTAGTGCTGTGTGACCTGAGCCAGGTCAATGCTTTGTCCCCCTTCAGGCTACTCTGCAAGTTGAGGGAATCACCTGAAAGGATCAGTGAAGATCCTGACCCTGGTGAGACCAGAGAAAAGACGATAATGAACATGGAGATGCACAGACCAAGGGATGTAATTGGAAAGGCATTTTTGTGTGTGTGAAGAGGCTATAAAACTACCGTTTAAATATACCATTCCCTTCTCCCTGCTTCCTCCTGTCCCCCCATGGTATTTCTCCTCCTCTCTTCAAGGCCAGACTCTCTTGCATCAGCTCAGTCCTGACACTCCACACCTAGCTGGTGGAGGGCACTGAGAGATGTGTGGCTTGGCAGTGTGGGGGCAGAACCCATTTTCTTGCATCACTGTGAGGGAGCTTCAGGCCCTGTCCCTGGAGAAATTATTGCTGCATTGAAGTCACAGGTCATACTGGGCAGTTCTGGTACAAGCCTGCCCTTAAAAATAATGACAGTAATAATAATAACTTCTTTTGCATAGAACTATTATTCATTCCTACCAGTCTGCTGTCCGCCATTCCTGGATTTTTGTTGACTCCAACCACTGGCCTTTTTAGGTGTTGGTGGGCCATGGGCTTTTCTATTCATTTCTAGAGCTCTTCAGATGCCACCCCTTGGAAATACCCCTCATTCTGGGGAGAGAGCAGCCAAATTGCCAATACAGTGAAACTCTCAACACAATCTTGTTAGCAATAGTGACCCAGAAGATTTTGCTGCCTCCAATGTCACCAGAAGGAAGCCCAGTGCTCCCTGTGATCACATTTTGTACCACAGCCATTCTTGGGATTGCAACCTCCATCTCTGGCTCCAGCTGAATTTTCTCCGCCCAAAAACCCCAATTAAAAAATGGATCCATGATAATTAAGAGAAAAAAAAAAACTATTATTTTTGTTAGGAAAACCATTGTAGATTTTTAGCAATGTGTATCTGTGTGTCCCTCACACCTTTTCCTATTCTGCCTTTTTCCCCTCTTTTTTTTAAATATTATGTACTATATTTTTAGTCTCAAACACACTATATATTATATATATTTAATTTTTTTATATATATAAATATAAATGTTTTAAAATACCATGTTTTGTGTTATTTAATGCATGTGCAGCTAGTTACTTAACCTGCCTGGTTTGGGGTGAAATGGTCCAGGTTTGGGGAAAAGATAGTTTTTGGATTGAGATTGCAGAAACTATATTTGTGTCACCTCTAGGCTGTGGGGCAAACACATTTTATTCACCAGTGTGTGATTGTTGCAGAACCCTGAGGCCAATTATGGCAGTTCAGGGACAAACAGCTAGAGGCTCTGTGCTTTTGGAACACAGCTTCCAAATGTTCCATGCCAAATCTGATTATGGGGGCTAGGATAGGGGGAGACTTTGAATCTGGGATCCAGATCCCAAAAGAATTGGGAGCAGGTATGTAGCATGGTTGTCTCATTTCTTAAAATGTTGTACTTTGGGTAAAAAGCAAGTGGAAAGGGTCTCCAACCTTTTGAACTTGTGGTGAAAGAGAATGTAAACCCAGATGGCGCATCAGTGAGCACACATAGAGGCCGGCCTGCTGAGAAATTCTAAATTCTCCAGGTTTAGTAGAGTTTGCAAGGATTTCACTTTGCTCATTTCACAGGACTGTTTGAGGATACCTGAAATTGTTTTCAGATAATGTTTTTGAAAGCTATAAATCATTAGAGAAATACAGGGGTTTATTTTTTTTCCTCATTCAGTTAATGACCAAGCAAACTCCAGACAGTTCACAGTAACCTTTTTGCACACAAGGGACACAGAACACAGACAGAATGTGAAAGCTGAAAAAACAGAGATAGTGCAATCCATTTCCAAGACGGTTGGAGGTTATAGCCCAGGAGCTCTGGCAAAGGGAGGGGTCAGGGGTCATTGGGGGTGGAATTTGGAGGTATGTGGCCAGGACCAAGAGACTTCAGGTAGCACAAGGGGAATCCAACCTGGATAGGAATGAGAGGCCCAGGTACAGGATGAATCTAAAGGCTACAGCCAGGTAAGTTGCACTGGCACAGGTAAAAAATGGCACTGATAGTCAGGCTACAGA